TTCTCTTCAAATATCAATAATCTAACGTCAAAAATTAATATTTATTCATGAAATATAATAACAAGGGAGTCAAGAACACTTACTCCATGTTTTGTGGTGAATTTTGCCTCTGAAAATCGCCCAAACCGAGTTTGGGAGTCCAAAAATGAAAGAAAACTCGGACTGCTCGTTATGCACTATCAAGAATTTTTTCGCGGTACTGTTCACACGTGTTACTATTTACGGATACTGTACACGGCTATTGTACATGAATATTGTTCACGCAGGTGCAGTCACTGTTCACACGTGCGAAAAATGCAGAAATTGCCCAAAAAATTTCAGTAGATAAATACAAGTTCGAATTGATTCGTTAACCTTTCGAAATCTACCCGAGGCCCTCGGAACCTCAAAAAAATACATCAGCAAGTCCTAACATATCATACGAACTTAGTCAAAACCTTAAATGACATCATAAAATGCTAAAACTGTGCATCACACCCCAAAAGCCTAATGAATCTAAGAACATCCAACTTCTATATTTGATGTCAAAAATCTATCAAATCAAGTCCGAATGACTTCAAATTTTGCATACAAGTCATAAATGACATAACGAAGCTATGAAAATTTTCATAACTGGATTCTAACCCCGATATCAAAAAGTCAACTCCCGATCAAACTTCCAAACTTAAATTTCTTATTTTCACCATTTCAAGTCTATTTTAGCTACGGACCTCGAAATAAATATTCGGACACACTCCTAAGCCCAAAATCACCATACAAAGCAGTTGGAATTATCAAAAATCCATTCCGGAGTCGTTTGCTCAAAAGTCAAATCTCCGGTCAAACCAAAAAAATCTTTAGCCTTAGATTTCTAGATTCCGTTAAATGACGATAATTTGATCTAGAGACCTCCGAATTCGATTTCGGGCATATGACCAAGTCCTAAATCACGATACGGTGCTACCGAAATGGTCAAAACTTGGATCTGGGTTCGTTTGCTTAAAATGTTGACCGAAGTCAACTAAGTTGAGTTTTAAAGCTCTAATTCATAATTTAATCCATTTTTCACATAAAAGCCATCCAGAAAATTATATGGACTGCGCACGCAAGTTGAGAAATAATTAATAGCGCTTTTCAAGGTATTAAAATACTGAGATGATTATTTAATTTAAAGATAACATTTTTGGGTCATCACGCTCCTTGCACACTGGAGGTGCGATCAGCCTAGGGACAATAAAAAGAAGATTGGTACGTAATTGCTTAAATTATTTTACTTTTTAAAATATATCTATTCTGATTATTAACTAAATTAATTTATTTTTAGAAAAAGGAGTTGGGGTGTCCAATGAGCCATGATGATCCATTCAAGAAGACACACATTTTAAAGAAGAAAAAAGAGACGAATCAAGAAAGGTGGGTCGAGGACCGGGCCTCGACTGCATATGTAAGCTTTCACTTTCATTTAAGTATTATAATTTATTTTTATATAAATTTTGAAATACTAATTCAATTTAAAATAATATAGGGTCGCTACCAAAGTAACGTGAAGGAATTCATTCGCAGTCATCCAGCTGGTAAATCGGGCGAGCCAACCCAGCCTTAGGACGAGGATGCTGAAAGAATATGGTTGGAGTCTGTTGGTGGTCCAAAATAGGAGAAGGTATACGGGCTTCCTACTAAAAAGTTCCATTGCTATAAGTGTGGAATGCAAGGAATAGGGACTTCCTCGCAAGGCGAGCAACTTAATTTGGAGAGCCTCTCCGCAATGCTGAAGACTATGACAATGCTCACATCCAAGCTAGAAGCGGCTAAGGAAAGAGAAAGGGCTAGAGATGCTCAATTCCTTGGCATGCAAGATTAGATCAGAACTCTCCTATCTACTGGAGCTTTTCCATTGCCCCGATCTCGTGAGTCATCGCCAGAGGTTCGACCTCCATGTGATCGTTCCTCCCATCCTGCTTGTGATCGTTCCTCCCGTCTTCCACGTGGTCGTGTCCTCCCCGTGGTCGTTCTTCCCGTCCTCCACAAGACCCTTAACTATACCATCTTGTAGATGAAAGTTCATCAAACAGTGTTATTGATGTTGTACAAAATACCCCTTGACTTTTATATACTTTAAACTAGACATATAGAACCAGATTTGAACTTGTTATAATTAGTTTTAACTTGGTTTTGGATTGTTATGTTCAATTGAACTTTAATTTGTTGTTGTTGTGCTGTTGTTATTGTGTTGTTGTTATTGTTGTTAGTGTTATTGCTGTTGTTGTTGTATTGGTATATGCTGGCAGGTGGTGTAGCTACCAAAACAGACATTTTATGCCATATTAAACCCAAAAAACCAACCAAAGTTGGTCGGTATTTATTAAAAAAAATAATACTTGGCAATTACCGACCAAAGTTGATCGGTTAATGAACAAGGAAATCCCAGAATTCATCATTACCGACCAACTTTGGTCGGTATTGTTAAATTTTATTTTTAAAAAATATATATATATTTTCATTTTCGACCAATATTGGTTGGTATCATTTTAGTTTTAGTAATTAATAAAAAACATAAATTAAATAAACCGACCAATTTTGGTCGGTAAAATTAAATTAACAAAATATGTTTTCGACCAAAGTTGGTCGGTAAATCATTTAAATTCTACAGATGGTTATTTTAATATAGCGACCAAGCGTATTTGGCCGCGTTTTGGTCGGTAATTGGCCACAACCGACCAAAGTTGGTCGATTTTTCTGGTGGGTATTTATCGAATTTCTAGTAGTGGTAGTCCTCTAATGTATAGAGAATGGTGAAGTAATAAAAATAGAAGTGTGAGTGAGATAGATTGAATAAGGAGGTTTTTTTGTGTAAAAATTGTATGTGTTCTCTTTATGAGTGTCATGTAAATGAGAAGTGGTGGTAGAGAAAAGTGGTGTCAGGATGGTATTTCATGGAGTGGAGAGAATCAATTATCATACTGTGTTGAAAATAGTGATAATCCATGCTCTAATTGTGATGAGAAGAAAGGGAAAAAGACGATATTTTCCAACTTGTGTTTTGTGTCAAAGACAGGAAGCTGTATATCTTCCTTTTCTCAGGTCTTGAATGAAACAAGTGGGCAGCATAGGAGCGTTGGATCAGATTATACAAACTTTCATCATGACCGAACATTTAGTAAGAAAGATAGAGATGAGAAATTAGATTATATGGACACGTGACAGAAGTTTGTTACACAACAATATATTTAGTAGTGTAGAAGATTCTTTTCTGTTATTTTAGGTCCAATAAAAAATAGACAGGTGTAGGGGTGGGCATTCGGTCGGTTCGATTCGGTTTGAAGAAATTCGGTTCGGTTATTCAGTTTTCGGTTTTGTAAAAGTAGTAACCGAAATCGAACTGAAATAAGTTCGGTTCAGTTCGGTTATTCTAGTTTCGGTTCGATTATTTCGGTTCGGTTTTCGGTTTGAACATTATCATATTGGACTCCTTCTATGTAATAATACGACCGACGAATTTGTTGATTTTTCCCAAAGCTTCGAAATTCTTGGAAATATTGTGTTTATAGAAACAAAAATAGACTAAACTTTGCACACTTTATGGATCATAAAATTCAAACATAGTGTAAATTACAACTTTGTGTGAAATTCTCCTCGACTTACTTAATTGGGTTGAGTCTTTGATAGATTGGACCTAATAGTATTAATTTATTACCTATGGGCTTAGCCTATGTATAACTTAAAGAACATATATGTTAATAATTCGGTTTTTCGGTTAACTGAACTAAAAAACTTAATAACCGAAAACCGAAAAATCAAAATTTTAAATTTTTTAACCGAAACCGACCGAACAAATCGAATAACCGAAACCGAAATAAAAAAAATTCGGTTCGGTCGGTTTATTCGGTTCCAACCGAAATATGCCCACCCCTAGACAAGTGTATAACTATTTATTTATTTTTAAGTCAGATACTTGTATAAATATACACACATCAATGAGAAGATCATTAAAAAATTCCTCTCAAATTCAATCTCTAGTTTTATTTTCTACATGCTGGTAATTAATCTATAAGGATGATGAACGACGACGTAGGAAGATGGTGGTTAATTCTGGACAATAATGTAAAGTTTAGGGACAAATTTGAACTCAGTGGCGTACACATGATTTTTTGTAAGCGGTGTCACCATTTTAACCGGTGAACAAGTAAGCAAGTCTATTAAAAAGAAAACAATTTGAATCATATTAATAAAACACAACTCAAGTATATTACTACAACTCTTCGTGATAACTTTTTATTTTTTGAAATGCATTCAAAATAAGCTCATTAGAAATAATACTAAATGTTTTTTCCTACCTAAGACACCAAATATTCAATTAAAAACTCATCATTCATTTGATTTCGTAAATTATTTTTAATAAATTTTATCGTCGAGAATAAAGATGAACCGAAAGAAATAAAAAGCCAAACTACTTGTGGAAGCAAGAATTCTTCTATATTCAAATAACTTTATGTCGCTAGAGCGAGCAAATATGAACCTCAACTCATCGGTTCAAAGTTTTATAAACAGCTAAAAGGTCAATGGTTTAAAATCCAGCCGGTGTTTTTATATGTAGATTAAGTACAAAATTTTAAAACAAAAACGGAAACTGCGTAGCTTCGAACTCGCAACCTCGTTTACTAATCTAAGACATTGTACCGCATGGTCTGCTTAGCTCCTTGTGTTAAGTGGTGTCACTTCACTTTATTCATTCTACTTGTTGTTTCTATATTTCAATCACATAGAAACATTTAGTAAAATTTTTCGACGAAGTGGTATCACGTGACACCGCTTATCCTAAGGTAGATACGCCCCTGTTTGAACTACCTTTGCATAGTTTAGGACTAAATTTGACTCTTTTACATTATAAAAGGACCCATGTGTAAAGTTTTATGGGGTAAATATGCCGTTAAATATTAATGGAAGGCAAATTGGATTATTTCACAAAACTCATTGGCAAATTTGGACTTTTTCATTAAAAAAGGAATTGCTTTAAATTGAGGAGCTATTTTATTTCGACTGCGGCTTCCGCTCAACTCACCAGAATCATGGAAGGAGAAACCGTAACAGAGACTGGGCCTCAGTTTGATGCATTCGAGCACCCCAAGGAATTGGAATTGCAAGTAGAAGAAGAAGGAGATAACACTAATGTCAACACTAAAGAGGCTGACAATGAAGAAGAAGAGGAGGACGAAGAAGAGGAAGAAGAAGAAGATGGAAACGGGGAGTATAAATTCCGATTCGGAGCAGAAATGGATCCATTGGCATTCACTGAAGACGATGCTTCTGGACTCCAGCCGTACCAACAATTTGAGCGTCTCGAGCACCAATATGAAGCTTTGGCTGCCAAAAAGCGCAAAGCTCGTGCCCTTCTTCCACATACCAGGTAATTTTAATAATGTGAAGCGAAAGGAAAAAAAATAAATTTAAGGTTTTTCTTTATACGGTAATGATAGCAGTGATGTAAACTGGAAAACTCCTTGTGCTTGGACATACAAAAAGTAGTGAATTTTAGACATAAAAATTGACACTTTGCGAAGAACTTAACTCCTTTCATATTCTAATTATCATATTCTAACAATTTCTGATATTCATGTTACTACGGGGGTGTAGTTAATTATCTTTTTGACTGCAGTTTTTTGCGTTTTCTGGATATCGGATTATATTTTCATCGACCTTCATTTCATATTAATTTCTTATACCATGTTGGGTGGGTGGGTGCAGTGAGGTCCCATCGAAGAAACTTAGGCTAGAAGACAGTCAAGTGGATGGTCCTGGAGCAAGTTTTGACGAAATATTGGAAGCTATGAATTTTGGGATGAGGAAAAGATCAAGGAAGGTATGACATCAACTTGTTATTTGCTGTATAATCTGTTGTCATTAGCAGTCTGGACAAACTTTGAATTCCATCTACAAAATACTAGATGTAG